GGGGGGGGGGTATGTAGAAAAAATACAGTCTTATCTATGAAATTAGAAAAATGATCGTCGTTTTGCGCAAGGGTGGCGCAAGATTATGCCAAAATTCCATGTTTTCTCGGAGGCAAAATGTGCAAGAACGCTCATTTGCACATCATTCTAGAGATAAATAAATGGCCTTTTTACAAAGTGAACCATGGATAGCGAAATGTTGCCAGTTTTCTCAAAAAATGCTTGAATTCAAGAAGTTTTAGATTTGCGTGTTTTTTTTGAGTTGCCCATCCACTTGAACATGACGCTGCTTTTTTCGAAGTTTCTCAAGACCCCCATGACCCCCCCCTGGATCCGCCCTTGTCGCGTTGGGATTAACTTCAACCTCTTATCGTTCATCTAACAAAAGGTTTTATTTATTTTTCCATTAAATATAGTTACGAATTCATTCAATGAGTTTAATCGCGATCTTTCGCCGTATTGCACAAAACAAGTGGTTCCAACCGGATCGGGGTTTATGGCAGTCATTGCAAACAAACATAATCTTTACTTTTACGAATAAKGAATAAAATAAAGTTCGGAGATTTGATAATCTTTTGATGTCGCGTGACTGTAAATAGGCATTAGAAYGAGTCGGCAAATGATGAAAATAACTGAACAGGAACAGCATCAGGTYTGCTSTAATGGCAGGAATAGTTRAAATTGACGATGAAAAMACTTTTTTTTTGCCGCTTTTTATCTGCTGATAAAAAAACTTTTTTTTTGGGAATCCGCACGAGAAGRAAAACTTAAAAATGTAAATCGCACGTCTTCACCGAAAACGAAACTGATTGGAAAAAACCCCACCCTGTAAAAGGCGTCTTCCGACCGAATTGCCATCTTCGCATCTGGGCGAAAATATCGTAAAATCCTCAGCCAAACAGTCCAATTAAATCACAATCAAGCAAAATGGGACTGCACCTTGGAGAATCGTACCATGAACAAGGCCAAGGCAAAGATTTAAAATAAAACTCGTTGTTTTTCAAACAGTTTTAAAATTGTTTCCCGCATCGGCAGTTCCGAATAATTCTACTGATCATTTCCAGGTACCACCAGCAGTATGATTTACAAATTCAGATGAGCAAAGCTACTCGGTTTAGTGCAACAAAACCCAAATAAAATGGCAAACAACAACAACAACAGTTCCACTCAAAGCATCATCAAGGTAAGTGTTATGTTTATCTTCGTTGTCTGTCCCAAGCAGTCGTTTGTACGATGGTACGAAAGTGTTTCTATTGGTTGGAGATCTGTCAATTCGCCCGCCGTCTTACGAACGGAGGACGAATTGACAGATCTCCAACCAATAGAAACACTTTCGTATCATCGTATCATCGTTCAAACGACTGCATCGGACACTGGCTTTATTGATTGACACACTTGAGTCTAACCAGAAGAAAAAACTTTGGCCTTTTCAGGAACTATCCGATTCCAATCACACCATTGACCTGCCAAGTCCTCAAGACAATGAAGAAATAAACGCGTCCAAAAGCGACGCAAAGACGCAATGGCTACCCAAATGGGTATCGGCGAAACTTGTGATATTTTTTATAATAACTGGCTACGTAATTTCGGCAACTGTCTACTTCGTCCGGAATGCCGGTCTGTTAACTTGCGATTTCCCCGCACAAAAACTTCGAATTTTCCTTTTCAGACCCACTAGGCTGGGAGGCTTTCAGCAAAACTACCTCAGACGGCTACGGCCTGCTGGTCATACTGTTCATAGTTTATTTATACGCGCTGGTATATAGTTATTTATTGAAACCTTATGCCCTACCCGTGATAGAAAAGTGGGCGTGGCAACCGGGCAAAGAGCAACTGCGCAGAATCAAGCAAGTTTTCCGCCCCAGAAACTTTAAACCAGCACTAATGGCCGATTTCCAGATATGGACCGATGGTGTTTTACGTTGCGATCGCAGCGGCAACTTTGGGATATTTGGGCTTCGATATGAGAGACGATCTATCCAGGCTGAGGCCGCTTTTGGGTCTGCTGGCGTTCCTTATTATTGGCTATGGACTTTCAGCAAAACGTGCTTTTGTAAGTTCAAGCGCYGAAACRAAACCTTGGAAAAATGATGTTATCAAACTTTTTTAAACCTACCAGTTTACGAACTGATCAAATGCGAAATATTGCCCGAAAGCGTCACACAGTTTTGCCATTCGCGAGCGAAGCAATCATCGGACCTCTCACTCGTATACACGGAGAGTGTGAGAGACGCAAGACGSCCTCAGCGGCTGCTACGTTCCAAATTGGTRCCTTCACGGCTAAAAATWTTTCAGTTTCAATTGCGAAAAAATGTACAGGGTGTCCCGTAAGCACATGCTCAATTATTCTGTGGCTGAAAAGAAGACGATCTCACCTAACTTTTATTGTACATACTTTCCTAACTGTGTTTCAATTCCAAATCAAAATCAATTCCTGGGTTTCAGTCATTTATTGTCTCTATTTATCAATTAAAATACGTTTCGGTGTTTTCCACCATCATCAGTTT